TTGACTGACGACTGTGCATTTGACCACCATTGTGGGGCCCTCAGGCGTTGAAGGATCGAAGGCCCTCTCGCGTGAGTCTGAGTGTGTCCTTCATGAGTCTGAGAGTCTTAGTCCTTCTTATCCTGCCCTTCTTACCCCAAGTCTGGTCCTCTGGCTCTGAGAGAAGGCGGCAGGCGTGCGTGTGGCCCGTAATCCGCGCCAAGGCCTTTGTGGGAGGTTGCCATACCGATTGCGGGAGCTCTGCCGGGGCTCAGGCGGAGTCCTGGAGGCAGGGAACTGAGTGGTAATCCCTTGACTCCCTCTATAAACCCAACTATAACCCCTACTTGTACATCTCTCTATGTCTGACTGAGTGTATTGCGTGGATCCTGTACTTGGTTCTGAGTTTGATTTTCAGGACGTAAGTCAGATTGAAGTAAAAAAATGTGTGGGCAAATCTCAGTTTCAGTTTAATTAATTGCCTGAAAGCAGATTGCGAATGAAATGGGTTGCATCTGGGGGGGAGGTTGGGAGGAAGACAGTATTGTGTGCAGATTGACTGGGTCACTAAGGCTGGGAGGTCCCCTTAAGTTTGGGGAAGCCCAATGCTTTGTTTGTTTTTGGGTTGCATGGAGCCTCAGGTCGCTCTATAAGTTCAGGTAGCCTGAAGCTCTGGAGGCTGAGATGTCCCAATAAGTTTGGGGAGACCTGGTGTTGTGAATTGCATGGAGAGTCAGGGCGCTCTATAAGTTTAGGTGTCCTGGCATGCTCTGACTTGTGAGGGTTTGACTGTGAGTGATTTTCAAGGACCCAAGGCGCTCTATAAGTTTAGGTACCTTGGATTGCCTTGTTTTGCTTTGGGGTTTTCTCTGCTTTTTTGTTTCTGAACAAGGAGGTCTGAGCCGCTCTATAAGTTTAGGTGGTTCAACCCTTCTCCTGTTTTGTTATGAGGGAATAATTCTGGCGGGGGACAGGCCGCTCTATAAGTTTAGGTAGCCTGGCCTACTCCCTCGCACATACTGGCTCAGAGAGAAACAAACCTGGCAAAGGATCAGACCGCTCTATAAGTTTAGGTAGTCTGACCCAATGCCTCGCACATGTGGAACCCAATGGGTATAATCTGACTATACTATATTACTATGCTATTGAGAACAGGCTAGTCAGGCCGCTCTATAAGTTTAGGTAGCCTGACTATAGCTTATCATAACTGAAGAGAGTATAACTAAGAGATATAAGCTAAGGTAAACTTGGGCAGGCTGGGCAATGTTCTAAGTTGAGCGGCCCAGTCTTATGTCCCCTTTGAAGACTAAGTTCAGAGAGGTATATACAACTTGGCTATTTAAACAGTTCAGGGCGACTATAGTGGTCTAGTCATACGCCCAAAGAAGAAAGAAGTAGTTGTGCCCTCTGGTTGTGTATACCTGACTAAGTCAGAACGCTTTATAAGTTTAGGTATTATGACTTTGGGCCTGGCTTAGTTGGGTGCGCTCTGTAAATTCAGGTGCCCTGACCTACGCCTTATGTAAGTAAGGTATGAAGGGTTAACTCACAGAGGAGCATGAACTATTGTTTGCTAAAGAAGTTTGGGGTTGGTGAGAAGACTTACCTATGTGGTTCGGCCTGCATGTGGCTGAGTGAGATTACTATTTGGTCTGGGCTTCAGGTTGGTAGGTAGTTGCTATAGAGGCTCGCCACGTCCGAAAGCGATAGGAGTTAGGTCAATTCCTGCATCTTCTGAGTTGACCTTATGTTACTTAGATCGATTCTTGCATTTTTCTGAGACTCGTCTTATACTTGTATAAATCTTGGTAAGCTACTTTCTCTACGGGAAGCGTTGCCGAAATTTCTACAAATTCAAAAAGTTGGACAAATCTTGACTTGTCAAAGTTCAGCTTGTCTTTTCGATGTACCCGACTTAGTAAAAATCTGGAAAGCCTCATTTCCTGAAGGGAGTGATGCCCAAATTTTTGTTAATTAAGGGCGATAGACAAAGTTGGGCTTTTTATTAAGTCAAAGTTGGTGTCAAGTTTCAAACTTAGCCTTGTATGAATTTTGGGAAAGCACTTTTCTAGGGGGAGTGCTGCCGAAATTTGTGCAAAACTAAGGGATTAGTCTAAATTAGTCTAAGTTTGACTCAGAGTTGGGGGCTGAGTTCAAGTTTGACTTGGTATTAATCTGGGAAATCCCCAATTCCAAAGGGGGTGCTGCCCAAATTTCTACTAATTCTGGGGGTTACACAAAAATGGACTTTCGAGAGTTATAGATTACTTTTGCTTTTGGCATTTAAGCTTATATAAATTCTGAAAAGGCACTTTTCCTACGAGAAGCGGTGCCGAAATTTTTTTGATTTAGTGAAGTTAGATTACATTTTGACAAGTAGTGATTCTGGCAGTCCACCCTGAATAGGGGAGATTCTGCCATTAGTCTACTTCTGCTTTGGGTACTGGCTTAGAGATAGGCTTGGGCTGAGTTGGTAAGTAGCGCTGAGTGAGAATGTGCTATGGAGGTTATCCCCCATTTGCTGATGATTTAGCTTGGACACATGATTTACCTTGTGTTACAGGTCCTTAAGGGTGTCCGATTCAAGATCAGGACTAGATTCAGCTTGATCCCTTGAGGATCGTCTTCTGTTATCACTGATAACAGGTCGGTTGCCGATTTGTCGGTCTTCGACTTAATCCCAACTCACTCTCCATGCTCAACCTAAAAGGCTTTAGCCCTGGTGGTTTTACTGTTTGTTAAGGGTTTCACCCGGACTTTTATTGAATAGCCATTTGACAAAGGTACTGAGTATTTAGTTGAGGTTGGTTGGAACGGTGATTGGGGCTTGCATGGCTGAAGAAAAGGGGTATGAGCTTAGAGAATGGTTGGGGTTGACTCCGTATAGTGTGTGTTTTGTCACTTGATTCTTGGTGTGGTTGCAGGTATGTCCTGTGGCTCGGATTTTGGATTTGGACTGCCTGCGATTCCATATACATATACATGGTTGTGAGGAGTCCCATTGTGCCTGTGAGAAGTGATCGTCATAACTCTACCCCCCTTTTGCATGTATGCGTGGGTATTCGTACGATGGGTATTCGAGGGGCCTAAGGGGCCGTGTTGGCAACAACGTGGAAGTTGGGGCTGAGGGATAGGGAAGACCCTCCCTTCCGCCTACTTGCGTCTTGGGGCTTTCTTAGTCGGACGTTGGTCCTGGGCCGGGATTCAAGGTCCTTTTCCAGGAAATCCCAAACCGTAGGCCCTGAGGAGGAGGGGTCTCCCCTCGCATAGAGCCTATTTACTTCGGTCGGCGGGGCACCCCGCCTGAAGGGCAGAAGTATCGCGAGGGCCGAAGGGCGTATCCTTCAGCCGTTCTATATCGTGAGGGGTAACCCCTCGCGATGAGTTCCTTCAGCCATTCAATATCGCGAGGCCGAAGCTGCGGTTACCACATATGGTTGGCATCAGTGGTCGGCATAAGGTTGGCCTGCGGCTGCGCAGGTTTATATCAGAGCCCTGCGTGCGACACCTCGTCGCCCCCGACATTTAAAAGTTATGGGACTGTCGGGCTTGCGCGTAGGCGCAACGCTTGGGATTATTGTAGGACGCCGGCACCGATTATAGAGGGGGAGTGTGTCCCACGGCCATGAGTCTATGTTTTAAAGGCCAGGAGACCTTGACCCTATCCGCTCTTCCTGAGTTCGTGCGAGTCTTGTAACTTCTTAGAGATTTTTTTATGGTTGGACGTTGTAGTCCGTTGCGGCCGTCAAAGTCAAACCCCTTGGCTTGTGCCCAGACCCTTGGGAGGACTCACCCTTAGGGCCGTGAGAGACGACTACCACCAGAGGCATGGGCCTGTGTACCACTCGCTTTACATAAGGGTGCAGAAGAGGGTGTGTAGTCTCCAATCGCGCATGGCGGTTGTTCAGCGTCGAGAGATTAACGCTCTAGGCGCGTGTCAGCCGACACGTGAGTGTCGAACGCGACCCTCGAGATTAACGAGGACCGCGTGAGTATGGGTACTACACGGTACGCCGTCATTGCGACCGCTTGCGTACGCTTGCATTGCAAATCGGTATGAGTTAGCCCTCCGTCCGCGCGATTTTATACTAAGTCTCACGCGCAACGCCCGTTCGACTTTCGTATTGGGAGGTTATGGGACGGCTATTGAGGGGCTAGGCGCGTTGTCGCGTTGTTCGGGTAGTGCCCGTGTTATTTGTGTTGTGGCGTGTTGTATGTGAGTGCATGCGTGCGCGTGTGTTCTTTTTGTGTGTTCGTAGAGTGGTGTGCGCGTGGCGTGTGGGATGCGTCCTAGTCGACCGACGACGAGCCGCGCTCGGGACTTCAGCCCCCTAAGATGTCGGTTCGCGTGCGGGTCCGATAGGCGTACCCCTCTTGCTACAATGAACGAGAAACGCCCTCGGTTGGTCCACCTCTGCGATTGCAACTGATTAGCTTTCGTATTGTGGACTGGCAGCTCGGCGGGGATATGCCCACCAATGGGAGGTGACAGCTCCCGTAAGGTGGAGGTAAGTTGTGCCTCGCGTAGGCCGTATCCTGTCGTAGGGGCTCGCGAGAGGTATGGCTGGCGCACTCGGCCGGAGCGGCCTAAGGAAGCTCCATTTGTGTGTTCGCGACGAGGTAGGTCCTACTCCTACGTGACTTTGCCGAGAGGGTCCCACACTGCCACGCGTGGTGCCGGATCGATGCGCTCGACAGGTGGCGCCGTTGCTGGGGATAATGGAAGCCTACCGTTCTCCTTGGTGGAGCGATATCCGAGTATGGGAGTAAGCGGGAAACTAGGCATATGAGTGAATAAGAGAAGGACTATGAGGTGTATGTAAGGTAATCCATATGACTATGGGTTGGATGATTGATTGATTGGAGGCTTGGTTGACAACTTGAATGAAGTAAGCGTGTGAGGAAGTCCTACGACAAAGATAAGCGTTATCTAGATGAGCCCAAGGGAAATGGGAGAAAGAATGCCTGCCAGGTTTAGAATGCGGGGTGTCTGAGGTGGTCAACCCGACAGGGTCATGAAAGGCTGAGTCGCTGAGTGGGGTCCTCTGTCCCATCGTCTCTTATAACAGGAAGATTGAAGTCGAAGGCGGTTGGCCAAAATGCCAGAAGAGATGGCGGACGGTGGGAGGAAGCTTCCGACTCTCGATGTACTCATCGATGCGCTGGACAAGCGCGAGAGGGCGCCGAGCAACGTCCCAAAGGTCGAGACATTCCACTTCAAAGGGGATCGGGTATCTGATTGGTTGGATCTGACGGAGCAGGCGCTGGTGGGGCTGTCAAATGAGGTCAAGCTCCAGCGGGTCCTGAGGTATGTCTTGCATAGTCACCATCGGGAAGTAACTAAGGTTGTGGACGCTGCCAGCGACAGTTCGGCAAAGGTTGGGGACCTAATGCGAAGGAAGTACAGGCTGGGGGACGGCCTGTTGACCATGGCCGACTTGGAGGCCATGAATAAGAAAGACTTCTCCACCATTGGGGCGTTCGTGCACAAGTTCAAGAAAAAGGCGAGGAAAGTGCACGGGATTTCTGAGGAGGCGCAGTGCGCCACATTTTTGGGGCTGCTCACAAGCTCGGAGACTACAAAGCTGACGAAGTATGGGGAAGGAAGCGAGAGGCTCACCAGGGCAACCATTGACAAGGGAGTGGAAGAAGGGGGTCTAGACCAGGTGGAGCAACACCAAATGAGGTTGCAAAGGCGCAAGAGGAAGGAGAGGGATGCTACTGCATCCGGGACCCCCGGGGTGAAGAGAATTGTCACGGACGTGTAGGCGGCACTGGGGTATGACAATGAAGCGGAGATACAAAAAAGAGGGGTGCTAGTGGTCCAAGGCCGGGCGTCAGGGGCAATAGATGAGGAGGCTGGGCAAGAAGACTACGGCGGAGGGGAGACAGGCGCCCATGTCCTGACTAAGGCCCGGAGGAAGCAGCGCAATTCGCTGCAGGGAGGGCAGGGGTCAGGGAAGGGGCAGGCCCCCCAAGCCATTGCCGCACCACCGCCTGTCGCCGTGGCCGCGCCAGCGTCAGCAGGACCATCGCACATGGGGCCGCCCCAACTTGCGGGTACTGGGTGCAGCATTGTCAGTCCGCGCCCTGCCCCAGTTGTAACCAATGTGTCTCGTGTGGAGGGAGTCAGGCCCACGCGGGGCACATGGTCCCCTATTCAGGCCCATCAGTAAGTATGGGCCCCCCAAGCTACCCGGCGACCCAAAGCCAGCCCGTGGTCCAACCGCCGCCCTCCCAACAGGCCTCGCAAGCTAGTGTGGCCGGGGGAGGGGGCCAAGGACAAGGCGGGCAGGGCAATGGGGGCCGGGGCCAAGGAGGTAGAGGAGGCGGCCGGGGGCGAGGAGGGAATGGTGGAGGCCGAAGAGGAGGCTGGAATGGTCAAGGGGGTCAGAACCAAGGTGGCCAAGACAGCCAGGGAGGGGGCCAAGATACGGGAGACCCCGCTTCGACTGGCGGAACACAACTTGTTGGCATTGTGGCGAGGTGGGCCACACCGTACGATTCTGCCAATAGCGGCGGGATGACGAACTGGCAGGATTAATCTCCACCTGTATGGACGGGGATATATACGACCGGTGGGGAAAGCACATTGACCCCAAGACCCCGGGAGGAATCAGGCAGGAAGCCCTCAGGCGGGCAGTGGCCGGGCCTCTAGCAGCCCCGACAATGTTCAGAATATGGCAGGAAAGGCAAGACCCCGGCGTAAGGGTCGAGGAGGTTGTGGATGAAAATGAGGAAGTAACTCAGCGGTTGAAGGCGGGGGCTATAAAGGAGCCCATAGTTGTTGAGTCTGACGATGAGGCGTAGGAGGTGGTGAGAGAATCAGCCTCGACCATCCTGGAGCGGATAGAGGACCTGCTTGCAAAGGTCGACAGGTACCAGGAACGGCTAAGGGCAATGTGTGAAAAGGCCCGAGAATGGGAAATGAGCCTTCCTGAGGTGATGCTCTATGGGTCCGGCCCGGAGTCGTCGTCAGGACCGCAAGGATGTCCAAGCGTGGCGACGGCCGGGGCAGGTCCTAGGTCAGGGATGACCTTTAGACCCCCTACGTCGCATGGAAGGGTACCACAGGCCGCGCAGACTAGGGGCCAAAGTAAGGCTACCACCAGTGAAAGGCCCAGCCAGGCACCCAGTCAGGCGCCCCCTCCAAAGGACCCTGAGCCCAAACGAAGGAAAGAAGTGGTACAGGTTCAAGGAGAGGAGGATGAGGGTGATGACGAGGAGGACGAGAGGCTCCGGCAGGAGGAGGATCGGAGAGCGGAATAGAGGGCCAAGAAGAGGGGGGCTCAGGGAGGGGTGGAGCCAAGCCTGCATGATGGCGTACCAAAGAGGAAAAGGTACGCAGTCCGGCTGGAGGAAGGCTTTGACGTGGAGCGAATGGTGGACAAGCTTCTGGAAGGTCATAACGATTTGATGAACGTAAAGGACATTTTAACGTCGGCACCAAGGCTCTGTGGCGAGCTGAAAGGGCGGCTCTCGCGAAGGTTAGTGCCCAATGTCCACCTGAGCTCAATTCTGCCCAGGGAGATAGAGTGGACAGAGGCAGGCACTAGGATGGATTGGAAATGTGTGGCGTGTGGGTTGGTGGACTTGAAGGTGAGGGGTCAGCCGAGCATCGCAATGGTGGATATGGGCGAGGAAATGAACATCATCCGGGAGCGGGATGCGACTATGCTTGGGTTGGAGGTCGACCATTCGGATTATGGCGTGTTGCATGGCGCCAACTGCAAGGACATCTTCTGCGGCACTGCGTCTAATGTGATGGTGGAGATTGGGAGAGTAAGGGCGCGAACGTGCTTCGTTGTCATGCCCGATGTTGACCACCCCATCCTTCTGGGGAGGTCATTCCTCTGCCGAACGGAGACCCTAGTCTTCAACAGGCATGAGGGGACGATGATCCTGGCTCTATCTGATCCGGTTTGTGGAAACTATGAAATCATCAAGTGTCGGAACAGAGGGCCCGGAAGTGGGAGGAACAGGCTCAACCTCGGCTCCTTTACCTTCGAGGAGTCTGAGTACGCGCGGCGGAGATTCTGGGAGGAGCAGGAGGAGGAAGGGGCAGGCGAAGTTTTGTCCCTGAGCCTTAATGATGTAAATAAGGCAATGGAGGTGGTGGCGGCGCATGATATGGCGGACCCGGAAGCTATAAAGGCATTGAGGGAGCAGGTCCCGGAAAGCCCTCAGGTGGGAGAGGTGGAGTTGATATATTGGCTCCCAGGAAGGAGGGGAGATCCTGCGATGGCCCAGGCCCGAACGACAAGTCGGCCTTTTTTAGGGGAGGGCTTAAGCAGGGTTCCCAAAGGCGGTACAAGACCATAGACAAGAAGTGCCGCCCAATCCCCGTGTTTGTCACGGAGGATGAGGAAGCCTACTATGAGCGGGAACGAGGGCTAATAAGGCGTATGCGGGAGCACGCGCATGCAGGGCTGTGCCGCATTAATAATGGGAATGAGGAGGGGCTGATAATTGGCGAACTAGGCTTCCTTTCGCCCCAGGAAAGGACCTTGATGGTGGAGACTATGAAAAGGAGGCATTGCGCGTATGTGTTTAATGATGACGAGCGTGGGAGGTTGGACGTGGATAAGATCCCTATGATACGAATCCATACCGTCCCACACGAGCCATGGAACCTGAGAGGCGCGCGGTACCCGAATCCGGATGAGGAGAAGAAGGTGGTGGATTACTTGGATGGGAAGATGAGGACGTATGTGGCGGATTACTCCAGTGGATCGTATGCGCCCCCTTGGTTTTGTTTTATCAAGCCAAACGGAACGCCATGGTAAGTGCAGGATTTGCAACGATTGAATGCAGTAACAGTGCGGGACGCGAGAGGGTTGCCGAACGCGGACGCCCTGTCAGAGTCATGCGCAGGGAGGCCTATAATCTCACTCATAGACCTTTATTTTGGGTATGACCAGTTTCCTGTGTACCCACCGGATAGGCCAGTGACGGCGATGCATACGCCAAGGTGGCTGATCCACATGAACGTGGCACCTCAGGGTTGGACTAATGCGGTGGCAATGGTGCAAAGGCACATGATTAAGGCCATGCAGACGGTTAGTTCACATATCACTCAGCCCTACATTGACGATTTGGCGGTCAAGGGTCCAAAGGAGAAGGAGGAAGACGAAGTGATGCCAGGAGTGAAGCGGTTCGTCTGGAAGCACATCCAAGATATTGATCAGGTTCTGGGTCTATTGGAAGAACACAACCTGACGGCAAGCGGCCCCAAATCGAAGCATTGTATGAGGGAGGCCACGATTTTGGGCTTTGTCTGCAACGAGCAAGGGCGGAGGCCGGATGTGAAGAAGACGGACAAGATCCTGGAGTGGCCAGTCCCCTTTCAGTCGATAACGGACGTGAGGAGCTTCCTTGGGATGCTGGTTTTGGAGGAGTTTTGTGAAGGACTTCGCCACCAAGACGAAGCATTTGAGGAAGCTGGTACGTCAGGACCAGGAGTGCGTCTGGGCGAAGACCAGGAAAAGGCTGTGGAAAGGATGACGAGAGAATTCAAGGAAGGAGGCTTGGTGTTGGGGGCGCCGAACTACGAGGTCACGGAGGAGAAGCCATTCGTTGTCGAGACAGACGCCGGGCGAACTACCTTGGGGGGGGTCCTGATTCAGGCAGATGTGGATGGGAAAGAGAGACTGTTAAGGTTTGAAAGTCGTACCCTCAATCCGACTGAGAGAAATTACTCCCAATTTAAGAAGGAGACGTTGGCGGTGCTCCATTGCCTAAGGACCTTCCGGAACTATATTTTTGGCAGGAGGCTCATTTTGAGGGTGGACCCTACTGCGCTGGCGTGTTCCCTTAAAAGTTACACTCCATCTGACCCAACCATCGCGAGGTGGCTGACTTACATTTGGATGTTTAACTTCGAGTTGGAGAGGATTCCCGGGGATAAGAACAGGACTGATGGATTGAGCCATATCAACTGGGATGGGGCAAATCAAGAATCAATTGAGGATACCCCACCGGTTGATGGGTTCTTGGACCAGGAGGAGGACGTCCGCCTCCACATAAATGAATGGTCGCTGAGGGTGCCTAGCTGCGTCACGCATCCTATATGGTTAGCACCAAGGGGGTATGAGTAGAAGGGGGAGTTGGTCCTCAAGCCCTTCCAGGAAGAAGATCCGTGGGGGAATAGGGATGTTGGCTGGATGGTGAGGTTGGCGTTGGCAGGGACGCATAGTCTAGCATAGGAGGTAAGAACGATAGAGGAAGGCCCAACCCAGGTAGAGGAGCATGAGCAACTAATGCGAGGAATACCTGCTCACCAACACGCTCCTGCAGGGGAACTTTAATCAGAGAAGCGCGACCGGTTCCGAGGAAGGGGAACTTCTTATTCCTAAAAGCCAGGACGACGAGTTCGAAGAGGGAGAGATTAGGGAGGCCTTCCGTGCTGAGGAGTATGACGAAATTTATCGGGAATTGGGGTTACTGCTGTCGTGCGAAATGAGGGATAGAGACGCAAGTGCCAAAGCCCAGAAGATGAGGCATCTCTATGTAGTGAGAGATGGCCATCTGTTCATAAGGCGACAAGTTGGAAACCCCAAGAGGATCGTATGTGGAAGGAACAGGCAGATCGATGTCATAGCAGCCTTGCACGATGTATAGCAGGGGGGCATAGAGGGGTTAGTGCCACGTGCGCGAAGATAAGCGAGTTATACCATTGGGATTGAATGCTGACCATGGTCATCAAGTACTGCCAGTCCTGTGTACCTTGCCAGCAGAGGTCGGCGCAAAGGCCTAGGGAGCTTCTGCACCCCAGGCTGAAAAGGGAAGTGGGTGCAGTCGTACACTTGGACCTATTGTTCATGCCACTCGGTGAGGACGGAAGCAACTATATCTTCGACGCACGGGACAACCTTACCGGGTTTGTGGACGACCAGGCTATTCGTACGAAGACTGGCCCAGTTTTAGCAAGGTGCATCGAAGAGTACTTTCTGCGCTATCCATTTGTCAGAGAGTTTGTGATAGACCGGGGGTCGGAGTTCACTTGTAATGAGGTGCGGACCTTGCTTGCAGGGTATGGCGTGGTAGCGAATTAAACTACTGCCGCGCACCCCCAAGCAAACGCGCCTGTGGAGAGGGGGCATAGTACCATCACGAATCTCCTGGCCAAATGGACGGAGGGGAAGCCTAACCAGTGGCCGAAATTCCTGAGAGCAACATTCTTCGTGGAAAACGTCACAGTAAAAAGGACTACCAAGTAGCCACACTATGGTACGGAAGGCATGCCACCTTTCCCATAGAAAGCTTCATGAAGACGTGGAGGCGCCAGGACCTGGAAGTGAACATGTCCTTTGAAGAACTGCTCGATATACGGGCTACGAGAGGCCGCGGGTCAAGTAGAGAGAAGCCGTATGAAAGACAAGATGAAATGGGACCAGATGGCCCGAATAAGGAAGGACCCGTTGAAGGTTGGAGATGCGGTATTACTATATGACTCCTCGCTGGAGAAACAATGGTCTAGGAAACTCAACAAGCAATGGCTGGGACCCTATAGGATCGTGCGGTGTGGCGAGTTTGGGGCCTATCAAATCGAAGAACTGGATGGGGCAGGGTGGCAGGACTGGGTATCAGGGACAAGGCTGAAGAAGTTTGTGGCTAGGGAATAGGTAAGGGACCATGAGACCCCGTTAGGGATAGAGTCTTGCCTAAGTGCTACCCAGGCCGGGTAATTAGATAGGTGGGTGATTGGGGTAGATAGGTGTAGAAGGTATGTGGGATTCCCCTAGGCCAATGGCTCAGTAGCTGACCCTGCTGTATGCTTGTTTGTTGTCTCTCGCCTGTTGTGCAGGTCTGACTTTTCGAAGGCAGTCATATAGAGGGGCGGGAGGGACACACTGGCCCCAGAGGATGGAGGGAAGGGGCGAGCAGCATGAGCCGCCTAGGAGGGAGCCTACGCCTGAGTTTGATGACGACAACATTGAGCTCTTCTCGGATGTGTATCAGGACAATGCGGCACAGAGAGGGTGGTCAGTGGCGGAGAGGATTCACCACTTGAGGGGTGTAGGGCGGTTCCAAGAGCCTGTCACTCAGATATGCGAGGAGGCCCTGACTTGGCCAGATGTGGAGGCCGAGATGCAAAGGTTGAGAGCTTCCCCTAGGGGGCGTGATGACATGCCCATTCGATTGTAGGAGGGGAACGCAGATGAGTTCATCCCCGCGTATGAGCACTACATGTTGAGTCTGGGGGTTGCGCGGGAGAAATGGGTACAGGCCCTACTTATTTGGACAAGGCAGGCAGAGAGGCAGGTGGCCAAACACATTCGGGAGAGGGCTCGAGACTGGGAGGACTGTCAGGCCCAGCTCTGGAGGGTGTTCGAACGACCACAGCACGAGAGGCACGAGTCCAGAGTTGAGAGGCGGCGACGAAGCAAGAGGCCAAGGGAACCGGCGCCGAGAGAGGCAGGGCTGGTCAGAGAAAGGAGGGGAGCCCCAGCCCAGAGGGGGGATGAGCCCGTAGGGCCCGCATTGGCAGAGGAGTCGCTCCTTGCTTGTGGCCTCTGGGCGGTTGAGTTTCGGCGGATTACGAGCGAGGAGTTGAGGCCGCCCTCGCCACTGCCATCAACGCAGGAGCTGGACATACCAAGAGAGACGCCATTCCGAAGCTTAGCGACTCATCTCGATGTATCCCAATGGGAGGCCTCACGGCTGGGAGAGGGCTCAGTTGAGCCGACGCGCTACGTGCCATTGGAGGAGCCCCTCGACCCCGAGATGGAGACAGACATGCGAGACCGAGAGGAGCCGCAGGATCCTGAGATGGCAACCGAGCGGCCGGATCCGATACGACCTCAGGGTAGAGAGGTGATCATGGTTGGGGACGATACCCCTCCATGCTCCCCAACTCCAGAGCCAGCACAACGTTTATGGCCAGAGGGGATTCCTGAGCCAGGCAGCGAGGAGATTCCGGAGTCTTCCCCTGCGGCCGCCATTACGCCTGAGCAAAAGGCAGAGGCGGAGGATCGAGGAGTGTGTGAGAGGGCAAGAGTGGAGGCGCCCTTTGACTTGCCCTCGGCCACGCAGGTGACCAAGAGCCCGGATATCGAGGAACCCGTTTCAGCAGACTTACCGCCAGTAGTGCCGTGCGCGAGCGAAGGGATGGAGGTGGAGGCATCAACTCCAGCAGGCCAGAGGCCGCGAGTGGAAGGAACCCCAAGAGAGACCCGCGAAGAGAAGTCCGCCCGAGTGCGGGTCCGTCTGGACGAGATACACGCAAGACAGGCCGAGATGGAGGCGGCGGGGATAGAGCCGACACCGCCGGTCGAGCCCAAGATGAATGAGCAGAGGATCAACGAGTTATGGGCTAGGCATGAGAGCGAGAGGGATGCAGCCCGCCAGAGGTCACGAGAGGCAGGACGGGCGGACGAGGAGACGAGTGAGTTGAGAGAGATGGGGGACTTGGGGTTCTCCGCGACAAGGCATGCGATTGAGCGCATGGACCGGAGGGTATGAGAGACGACAGTCACATCTTTCCAGTGGTATAATCTACTCAGTAATGAGCTCAGGGTTAAGGAGTTGGAGGTAGAGCACGTGACTACCCAGCTTGCCGAGGAGAGGGCGAGGAGCCAGGCTAGAGAGGTTGAGTGGGAGAGGAGATTTGGGGAGATGGCGGCCGCTGTGGATAGGCTCTCGGTAGCCTGGGAGGCTAGCCAGATAGGGCGAGCCGGTGCCGATGGCGAAGGCCGAGGGATGCGCGCCTCGCCGAGCCAAGGAGCAACAGTGGAGGTCCCTCGACAGAGTGAGCCGATGGAGGAGGTGCCCTTGGACGCAGTTGAGGAGGAAGGTGGGACGCAGGAGTCGCTTATGGCTATGTCCACAAAGAGGAGAGGTTCGCGCTTGCATGAGCTGGCGGCAACCATGGGGATAGGCACTCCACAGGAGAGGTCTCAGAGACTCGATGCTCCAGAGCAGACCCCGAGGTTGGGAGAATTGAGGGCGGAGCTGGGCTTCTGGGCCACGGAAACGAACTCGGGAGGGCCCGACTCGCGGCAGCAGCAGCAGCAGGAAGTCATGAGTATGCCCACCACCATGGTGAGCCCTCAGCCGTCGGAATCATGTGGGGATGAGGTGGTGGTGGAGACGAAGAGGGCTCATGAGGAAGGACCCCGAGAGTCGGATATGCCAGATGACAGGCCAGGGAGCACAGCCGCACGAAGGGGTGGAGGTGTTCAGGCTATGGAGCCCGGACCTCAGGGCCATATGGGATCGTCCTTGTGTCGCGAGGTGACTACTAGGACCATAGGGGCGCCTTCGGCATCCAGTTCGCAAGGGAGAAAGAAGAAGACTGCTAGGTGGCATGACACCTCCTGTTTTTGGTGCAAGGAGGGAGGACATAGAGCCGTGGACTGTCCAGAGCTCCTTGAGGATAAGGCCGAGGGGCGAGTTGCGGAGGTCGACGACAAGTTCTATGACAGACAAGGTAGGATAGTGGAGCGAGCTCCAGATGGGGGCAGGGATCAGTTGTATAGGCAGAACCAGGAGGAATTGTGTAAGTAGGGACCGGTCTATCTATACATTGGTAGGACTAGAGGCCCTTGACACATGCAGGGCAAGGTTAGAGATGTACATATATTGAGTCAGTTGAGTGAGCCCTAGAGGTGTGTGTGCGCAGGGGCGGTAGGATGAGTCTCTAGCTGATTATACATATACATTTGACTTTTGTTCGCTTGTTTCCTCTTGAGTTTCTTCGTGGGCTACGACCTAGGGGTAGGACTCAACTGTGTGATATATGAGATTATTTAGTTGCGTTTGGTTTTGTGATTCAGAAACTATTGCTGCTCTGAATGGGATTTGGGAGTTTATAGCACTCGGGGTGTGAGTCTTCCCAGCAGGGGAGGACAGGGGCTAGGTATTCTGTGGATGATTAGGCAGATGTTGTGTTCCCGAGTGTACTTGATGAGTGTACAGTGGGGTGATGAGTCCTACTAATACAGGCGGGGTATTGAGTTGAGTGTCTGTATTCGATTGTTGGGGGAGGTATTCTAACCCCTGAGTGTACTATGAGTTGAGGTTCTATGGGGCTTGTCTTGTGACAATCACGATCGCTCTCACATGTATGGATTTATCTCGATGAATGTTTGGCTTTGTGTGAGAGATGTACAAGATACATCTCATGGGCATGATTGTGTAAATTGTAAAGCTGTCTACCCTCCGGTATACTCGTGCCGTCTGCTGCAAGCGGGCGAGAAGGCAGAGTATAAGGAGGGGAAGTGCAGCCTGTTTGTGAAAACTGTGAGAATCCTACGGGATTGATGGATTTAGGAATTTGCATGTTCGGTCGTACTAAACATCGTTGCCCAAATCGTATAGGGACCCAAAAGGTGGCCCCTCAGTTTGAGTTGTTTGATGATTAAGACCCCCTTCATGATTTTGGGAGGTGGGAATTATATTGTGTGGAGACCCCTTCATGGTTTTGGAAGAGGTCGTGTGAGGAGTCATCCCATACAAAAAGGGGATGGCCATGAAATCTTTGTCAAAGGCACACTTCACCAAGTAAGGGTGGGTAAAAATTGAATGGTGTGGAAAGCATTGTCTGTGCTGATAAAGTCTGACGAGAGGGGACCATGTTTGCTTGATATGTTTGAGAAGGGCGAGAGATGCCTCAGGGTGGGCGACGGCTGGCTCTGATCAAGTCAGGAGCCGCGGCCTTGTGGATCCGGCGGGGAGATTGTTTATGATTAAGCGAAGGATGTCGTGCCTATTATTGGAGGGCCGGTAAATGCCTTCAGACCCCTGCGTAGTCCCGCAGCGGCCGTGAATTGTTTGTGATGCCCCGCCGGGCCACCTGTGCTAATTCTGAGATATATTTGAGGGAATACCAAGCTAACGGTGAAGTTTAGTGCCACCTGGGCGCAACCCCTAGTGGATGCCTGCCAGCCGGCACAACCTGGCTGCGGGCCCGCAAGGTAAGAGTTTAAGGGGAATTGCCCGCCCTAGGGAAATTACTTCGCGGGATAAGAGTCGATTCCTGTGGAGACCCCTATTGATTGATTATCAGGGACACACCTGTCGTTGTATAACCAGCGGGAGGGTACCGCCGCTAAGGTAACAACGCGGTGGGCCGTAGACCTGGCCCGATCAGCCAGGCTACGGTTGGCCCAGATGGGGACCTGGCATTTCTGTACTAGACTGCAGAAAAGCCCGAGAGAGGCTACAAGCTTATACGTGTGTATTTTGTTTGACTATGAGGAATTTGTTGAAGAAGGCAAAGAATGCCTTCATAGGTCCCATTCAAAGCCCGCGTCCCTAGTTATGGCTCTGCTACGAGAAAGAGGCTAACTGGGACACCCAACGAGAAGCCGGCGGTTGTCTAGGACAAAGGGGAAGAGGATGGTTTGAGGGCCTTTGGAACTTATGCTGTAGTATTGTCGCGTAATACACCGGCGTCCTGGTCCCCTGGTGCGCATCATATTCGGGCCCATAACCGAATCTCTATCATGTAGAAGGTTGGAGGTGGACCTTGCCCACATTCGTGATAAAGCAGGTGTTTAGAGGTGTCGACAATCTGAGCAGAGTTTTTAACGATACATTTTACGCTCTCGGATTGGGGTTAGCACCTCGATTTAAGAGGGCCTACTTCGCCGTTTTTGCGAGATGGGGGCGTTTTGATTATAAGACGGTAAGAGGACTGATCGACGCGACCTGCTGGGTGGATTGCCTGAAGCCAGCCGATCTAATTGCATATTGTCGAAGGCGCGTAGAAGACAAGTACGTCTGGCTAGAGGAGTTGAGATATTTGTACGAAAGCAGTCAGTAGAAGTATGTCGGGTCGAACGTCCACGGAAACCAACGTGAGTAGACACTTAGTAAACGAGGGGTTTACAGTGACAGTTTTACTCAGAGCGCATATAAAGGAACATCTGACGGAGCAAAAATATATGCGGCAAGCTAGAGAGTTCATTTGCAAACACCGAGCAGGAGTCCTTACGTGCTCCGTCAAAGGTGACGTATGAAGTGATGGTATGGTCGGCAGGATACTTGCGCGCGGAGTTATTTCTCGATGATACGGTAGCGAAAGCGAGGAGCAGGGTATGAGTTGGCACTCTGGGCCGACATGACGCAACGCGAGTCTGCCCTGTACAAACATAGACGGCGAGTGTCGTACTCTCTGCAATGGGATCACCGAGGTTCCGATTCATGGAGGAGTGCCAATGATAGAAATCCTCACGTGAGCGCACAAGAAGTAGTGCCAAGTCGCCGGTTTCTTGCAGATGAGCGACATCAGTCTTCCTCACAACCATTGTCGTACGCGCGCACGGTCTCGGGACGCTTAGCACGTGATGAGGTGACGCTGCAAGTTCTTTTGAGGGTGAGCATAGATGAGGATTTGACGGACGATGAGTGTGGAGAGCTTGCTAAAAACGTCATACGAGAGCAGAGGTTAGGAGCACTAAGGGAAATTACGACCCAAAGGTGGATGATCTATGAAATGGTTATCTGTGTGAAAGGAGTTATACGGATGGAGATCGTTCAAGACGAGACGCAGACGGAGGCACGAGCTAGGATGTAAAAAGATTTGGGAAGTTGAATGAAAATGAAGGATCAAGGATGGAAGAAGAGAGGATTAAAGAAATGAAAGAACGAATTTTAAAACCTGTGCTAAAAAGAGTTAGGGAGTTGGCGGAAAGGATCAAAATGTACGGGGTTTGTGAGAGCGAGGGTAAACTGCGTAGAATAAAAAGAAGTACGAACGAACTAAAAAGGATCTTTAGGGAAGACAGGAAGTTCGTCAGAAGGTGGAGATTTGAGTTTCTTGAAAACACGAAAACAAAAGACCACCAAGAGCCGAAACAACGGGAATCGTCTAGATTTGTGGAGCGGGGAGAAGGAAAGGACAGCGAAGACGAAAAGAGCGGCAAAGGAGGGAAGAACGATGAAGAGACAGTAGCAGGATGAAAGACGATGAGTACTCGTCAGTATAGTAACGACAAGTACACCGTACACATGGTAGGGAAGATAGATGGACCGGTGGTCTGCATGGTGATACAGGTGAATCACCTAGCAAGACTGGGAGTGATCGAGGAGGCAAAGTGTATTCGGCAAGCGCTAAGGGAGGCGCGAATGACTGCACTTTGGGGAAGGGTCGAAGACGGCCGTTTAAACAAAAACATAATATGCGCGTCGTTGTTCGACGTTGGTTCTTTGGTTCGATCTTGGCATGAGACCCCGAGCGAGACAGAAAAGCGCTTAAAGAAAGAAGCTAGACAAGTAGGAGAGTTGGTGAGAGTTAACGTGGATGGAGCGGTCCTCAGGACACTCTAGGCGCACAATAGATACTGGAAAGAGTTGATTAAGACCTTATAGGACAAAAAGGACTTCAGAGATAAGGACGACTTCAAATCCTTCTACCTTGTTTTGCAGGCATCCACGAAGAGGATGCTAGCGGCTCTTGCATTAACTGCCATCGAATGCTAGGTGATCTGCAAAATTGAACAAGAGATGAGCCTACTCGAAGAAGAATTAGCAAGAAGGAGACGTAAGTTTGGGAGATGAAGAAGGTCACGCGAGCACGAGGCGTAAGTTTGAGAGAGCAGAGTTTTGCAAGCACTCTAGGTATTGGAGAATAGCAGCTTGGAAGTTGAGGGAAGAGAAAAAGATATTAGAGAAATCAGGAGAGCTCGTCGAGACAAGTGACGACATCTCTATCTTCGATGCACTACCTAGGCCTCCAATCGCAGGAGAGGAACTTAAGCGGAATGGATGGGAGGCGATCGTATTCTTTGCTAGGACAGTCAGGGCAGGAGATCGTCATAGGAAAGTGCTTTGAAACCTGATGGGAAATGAGTGAGGGGAAAGTGCTCTCAGAAGAGGAGTTAGTAGCCAGGAAGGAAATTTTTCTTATCAGAAATAGGCACTCCGAAGCAAAGTTAAAGGTCGAATGTACTTCTTTAAGTTCTCTAGCGAGACAGGAGATAGTTCCGTACGAAGTAGAGACATACGAACGAATGGATAACGGATGGAAGGGAATCCGTCTCTATGTGATGATCGCCAGGTTCATCGATATTGACGTATATGACGTAGGGATTTACCTGCCGATAGAAAGGAGGGTTGACCTTGTTTACGAACGGTGCTGGGAGAGAGCGAAAGAACTAGTGGAGGAAGAGAAGGATAGATTGCTATCGCTAGGGAAGAACTTTGTCTGGGACACCCGGATAAGCTTCGAGGGACTTCTTAAGGGGAAGGGAGAACTGGAGGATCGTAATCGAATTTGTTCTATGGTATCGAGATCTTAATGGCCAGAGGAGGTGAATCTCCGCTGGTCAAAAGCAGGGTGGTTCTATAAGAATTGCAGTCGGAACTAGGCAGGAGAGCTTCAATTGACCTGCGTTGACTTTTGAGGACTTCGACTCGCGAGGACATATGTGCATTAGGGACTTCGATTTGCATGAGGGTGATATGCCCTGAGACAGGAGTAGTGGAGATAAGGAGAGGCGCGACCTGTGTAGGAGGACAGGAAGAAGAGCTTTATCTAGATACATGACTCCTTGGGGTACACGGCGAGCACGAGGTCCGCGATGAGAGCAAAAGACTGAGAGTTATTTTGA